CCCCTGCGCCTTGTTTGTCCAGGAGAGCCAAGACTACTATGGCACGGGCGAGTCATTCGTGTACTCGTTCCACCCCTCCTTCAAGGCCCACCGCTGGACAGGAGCCAATGACTACTTCTGCATCTCGAGCGACTCGTGGCTGGCCATGGGCGGTGGCGGCGGCGGCTTCGCCTTCCAGATCGACGACGAGCTCGACGCCGGAGAGAGCAATCCGAGCGACACCTTCGGAAGCCCTCGGCTGTCTTCGAACGAGTTCTTCAGGCACGCGAGCGACTGTGTTTCTTGGCGCGTAGTCGTCGCTTCTTTCTTTTTTTTATTGCTGCACTTGTAGTCGTCCCTTTTTTTGTTGCGTCATGCGCGGCGAACATGACATGGTGATGGTGGTGGCGGGGGGTGTTCGCCTTGGAAAGGGTGAATGGACCCACGAAGCATGGACATCTCGAATCAGACCACCCCAAGAGTGGATGATGGCGGAATTTATCCCCGTCGGTCGGCGCGGTCTGTTGTTTCCTGGTCCCCTGTGCGCTCAGGAACGCGTGCGTCGTTTCCAGGCACACCCGCCACCTACAGGTTTGCTCGTGGGTTTGGTTGGTCCTTGCTCTCGCCCTCCCGTCCCCTGTATGTTAATATGTTTTGAACGCCTACATCCCGGGGTGTCCACCCATTGGGTTGCCGTACGTGCCCAATGATTTTTGGCCCACTCCCAACGGCCTGCGCTACATCTTCTCCATGATTGTGTGACGTTTGTCAGGAAGGACCGCGTCTAGCTCCGAACACCCCCTTTGGTGTCGTGCTTTTCTGCGATTGATTTTGAGTTCACACTCGCTTGCTGTCGCAAAAATGCGTGGAACGGTATCTATCCCCACTCCGTCCGTGAGTGGTTTTGCCTACAGTAGTTTCCCTCCATCGGAAGGGCCTTTTTTTGGCAATTGAACGCCGCAAAGCAGTAGTCAGCTTTTGTTTCTTGTCATCCCATCAATCCTGTCGTCGCTTCTACACTTTCTGTACTATTCTGGATGCACCCGCAGGGGCGTGTCACCCGGGAGAAAGGTCACACAGTATGCACCTCACATGGGACCTTTTTCAAACGTATTTCGTGTGTTGTTTCCACCAGGTGCCTGCAGGTGGAGGTGTGGGTCTTCTCGGACCTCAAGCCTTCGGGCGTTTGACGCACGTACGTGTGTGAAGTACTTAGTGGAGAACGGGCGTGCGGGATAGGAACCCCGACACACGCCAAGCTCTCCCGGCTCTATTTCGTTCTCCAGAGGCCAAGAGAGAGAGAGAGAGAGAGAGAGAGAGAGAGAGAGAGAGANGAGAGAGAGAGAGAGAAACACCTTGGGAAGCCTTCTTTACGGGAGAAAGGGACGGGGGCTACTTTCTGTGTCGAGAAAAATGGCTTTGAAATACGCAGGGACCGGCAGGAGGGGTATTTTTCACGGTTGGGTATCGTCTGGGAACACCAGGGGTAAGTTCCTTGCGTTTGGAGGACCGAGGCTTTGGGAAAACGCCTGTTGGGGGCGGAGTCTGTTGCGCGTACGATGTGTTCGGGGCTGACTCCCTATGCTCTTTTGGACTGCCTGCGGCCTAGTGGCGAGTCGGGCCCGAGCCCCCACCAAAACGAAGGTGTGCCAGCTACTGTCGTGGAAAATCACACCGTCGCCTCGTGCGGTGAGGTCTGTTTTGGTATTGGCTTGCTTTTCGACATCACTGGGGTGTCGCCCGGGCCGCAGTGTACGGGAAGCAATGGGCAACCGACACAAAGCGTCATGTTAAGCTCGCAAGCATTGATGGCATGCCACGAAAGCCCGTCTCTCTCGATGGTTCGTTGCCGGAAGAAGTAATCGACTACTGGTGTGTTCAACATGTTTGCTCAATCCAGTGTCGACAGCGCCACCGCCAAACGTCATCCCTATAATCTCCATCTGGGATGTTTGAAAGTTGGGCCAGGCCCCCCATTGTTGGTTTCCACCGAACTGTTAGAACGGGCACCTTATACGGGCACTCTACGCATGCATTTTGCCTGCCTATCCAATCTGTCTGCGCAGATAGGGATCAACAGGATTACATTGAAAAGCATGTTTTCAACCACGGTAATAGTTGTCAGGAGCGTGGATGACGCCGCTTGTCCAAAGAAACAGTGCCGTACGAGACGGTCGACCCGGCGCACATGACATTGACGAGTAGACTAGTTTACACCCGAAAAATTGCGAGCGCAGAACCAAGACATTTGTCAAATAATACAAGCGTTCATCATCGCCCAAGGCCTATCGCATCCGATCGAGGGGTGGAGGGGGAGGGCATGCTTCTCGCATGTGAGGATGTCTACAGAACTTTTTTCTTCAGTGTTGTTGTTGTTGTTGTTGTTGTTGTTGTTGTTGTTTCTCACATTAGCTCTAAAAAAAAAAAAAATTGGGAGCCCGTGGTCTCAAAACCCGGCATACACGACCCCACGAAGAAACAGAAAAAAATAGGGTACAAAAACCACTCGGAAGAGAAACAAAATGATAGAAAGAAAGACCAGCTACCGCACCAAACGAGAAAGAGCGTCGAGGAGACCGATCAAAATAAAATAAAAGGAGAA